TTTTTTGCTTTTTGTATTTCAAATCTTTGACTTGATTCTTGTGATCCTCAGGTCTGCTGCTGGGAGTCTGTATAATATTCTTTATTTCAGTCAGTGTATGCTTAATTTCTAGTTGGTCCTTTATCACAGCATCGAGGGTCTCACTAGATTTCTTGAGGATCTCACTACATTTATCGGCGTTCTCACCAGTATTTTTGAAGGTCTTACTAAATGTATTGGTTTTACACTGAAGTAAAACCATAAGTACCTCCGAGAGAAAGCTGCCCTCAAGTTCCGACCAATGCCAGACAGTCCCACTTCTCCTGTATGAGCCTGGTTCCCCAGAGACTCGCCCCGGAGTCTTTACTTCAGTGTAAAATTTCACCAGCAGCATGTGAGAGGGAAGACTTTCATTAGAGGGTTGGACAGGATCTCACTTGCAAAGAATTGCAATTTCAGTGTGTTCCAGAATCATTTCACTTGCGGGGAGGTTGGGGAGGGTGTCCTTACTGAATCACGGTGACCTCCCCAAGTTTTCATAAGGTCAACATGTACCTCACCAGCATTTCCTTTTATACAGGTTGCTGCTGTGGAGCAGAGAATGTGGAGGCACCGACTGAGCAGACCGTTTCTGTTAGAGTGTCACAAGCAAGGAATGCCAAGGTAGCCTTGTCTTCCCAGAAGAACCACCCCTGTGAGAGTTGTGGGCTAGTCTTGGGAAATATTTTCCACATGATGGATTTTCAGGGAACACAACATGGACAGATACTGTTGAGGTGTGGGGCATGTGCAAAACGGTTTTACTTCAGTGTAAAATTTCACCAGGAGCATGTGAGAGAGAAGACTTTCATTAGAGGGTTGGACAGGATCTCAGTTGCAAATAGCTGCAATTTCAATGTGTTTCAGAATCATTTCACTGGCGGGGAGGTTGGACAGATTGTCCTTACTGAATCAGGACATCTCCACCTAAATCCTCCTCAGACCAAAAGCAGTCCAAGAGGCACTGGCTGCCAATATCCTCAGAGAGTTCACACAGGAGAAAAGCCTTACCAATGCAGTGAATGTGGGAAATCTTTTGCCACTAACAGTCACCTTCGTAGTCATCAGAGAATTCACACTGGAGAAAAGCCTTATCAATGCAGTGAATGTAGGAAATCTTTTGCCACTAACAGTCACCTACGTAGTCATCAGAGAGTTCACTCTGGAGAAAAGCCTTATAAATGCAGTGAGTGCGAGAAAGCTTTTGCCAGGAACACCGACCTTCATAATCACCAAAGAGTCCATACAGGAGAAAAGCCTTATAAATGCAGTGAATGTGGGAAATCTTTTGCCTGGAACAGTGGTCTTCGTCATCATCAGATAGTTCATACAGGAGACAAGCCTTATAAATGCAATGAATGTGGAAAGTCTTTTACCCGTCGCGCTGGCCTCCAATATCATCAGAGAGTTCACAAAGGAGAGAAGCCTTATAAATGCAGTGAATGTGGAAAGTCTTTTACCTGTTGCTTTGGTCTCCAATATCATCAGAGAGTTCACACAGGAGAAAAGCCTTATCAATGCACTGAATGTGGGAAATCTTTTACCACTAGCAAGTACCTTCGTACTCATCAGAGAGTTCATACAAGAGAAAGGCCTTATAAATGTAGTGAATGTGGGAAATTTTTTAAAAGTAGGAAAGGTCTTCAATATCATCACAAAGCTCACACTGGAGAAAGCTGTTATGAGTCCAATTAATGTGAGATATCTCTCAGTCTAATTTGTAAATTAGCTTTACAGAGAAGACTCCGGATGTGGTAAGGTTTTTAGATGTGTAGGAAATGTAGTTTGTTACTTAGGACTTAACAATTGTATAAGAAAGTAAGTAAAGTCTCATTAGTCTGAATTATATCTCCTATATTTGATCACCTACATTATGTAACATCCCCACAACTGTTTATGGTGTTCTATTTCTTTTTATGTTGGAAATATACGTATCTATGTTGCACTTTCTAACATACAGAGATTCATGCCAGATCTGTGTCACTGCATATTTCTGTTACTGAAGGTATTTCCCCTGATCCACCTATATTATAGTGTCTTAGAAGGTCCCTATAGATTGCATCAATCACCATCCTCATGGGCCCAGGGAAACTAACTGTGTTGTCTAAATCGTTGAAGAAACTAAGAATACCTCATCCCTTAGTCCTCATATCCCTGCCATGAGTAGCCACATAGGACTGATTACTATTGGCGCCAATAAACTTTATGTAGAAGATCTGCCATTTTAAGGGACACACTTTCCTACATGCTAATGTTGAGTTTATTTATTGAGTGCCTACGTCATCAAGGGGAGAATTGCCGGTCTCAGGTCTCTTTCTTTGAAAAATAATGAAGGCTTTTTCCTAGGACTTCTTTAATCCTGGGTTTTCTATTTACTGTGTGGGTTAGTTTATGAAAAGTTCTGGGCTCTGCACTCATGATGATTGGAAAACTTTTATGGGGTCTCAAACATTTTTGCCCTTGGGGGAAGACTATGGTGTAGAAATTAGCTCAGCAGTTTTTGCCAAATTTACATTGCTGCCCATAATTTTGCAGGAAACAATGTGGACTCTCTATTCCTCATGTGAAAATGGATGTTTTGAGACATAGAAGTCACTCAAAAGAGGGGGTAGATGTGACAACCTCAAGTATGTCTGGGAGCAGCGTGATTTTTTTTCTTGTTTTCAAGGGATGCTAAGGCATTTGAAGGGATTCTTTTCCCCAGGTGTTGCAGAGGGCCATGTGCCCTAATGCCTTCTATTCCATGGGTGATAGTCACTGGTTGGAGGACCATCATATTGAGGATCTTCACTGCAGAAATACTGACCTAATTCAATTACAGGGAATGGATTTCATCTAAACCTGCACCCAGAACTTTTTTTGAGGAAAAGACTACAGGAGCGGTCTGTACACAGATCTGAGGGACTCCCGGCATGTTTATCTTCTGTGCAGCAGTCATTGTCATTGATTATAATCAAGAGGTTTTGTGGCTTCCTGTAGCCTCTCAGATATTCCCATCAGAGCCAGTGGTGCTCTGGCAGCAAAACTAAGAGGAAAATAAAGTGTGTCTTTAAGCCAGAGATGTGGCTTTTGAGACCCAGTCAACATTCCAATGGGTTTGGGTGAAAGTTCTTCATTGTTTGTTACATTTTCTGTCACTGAACTGAGACTCGCCCAGAGGGCATAAGAATGGCGATTGAGCCCTAACCGGTTTGGCGCAGTGGATAGAGCATCAGCCTGTGGACTCAAGGGTCCCAGGTTCCATTCCGGTTAAGGGCATGTACCTTGGTTGCGGGCCCATCCCCAGTATGGAGTATGCAGGAGGCAGCTAATCGGTGTTTCAAATTCTCTGTCACTCTCCCTTCCTCTCTGTAAAGAATCAATAAAATATATTTTAATAAAGAAAAGAGCCCTGATCTGTTTGGCTCAGTGGATAGAGCATTGGCCTGGATGTTTCTACCTCTCTATCCCTCTCCCTTCCTCTCTATAAAAAATCAATAAAATATATTAAAAAAAAAAGTAAAGAATGTGATTTGAATATAGATTTGAAAAACATGTTCCAAAATAAGTGAACGTACATTTGTTTTATCTTGAGCCTTTTTATTATAGCTGTAATGAGTAAATTATGTGTTAAGTATACTGTTTTCTAAATATTGACATGTGCATGAAACTGAAACAAATTATACTCATAATACTGAACATATCGGTCACTGAGTAGGTGCTTCATGACCTTCATTTCATCTGTCCCTATTCTTCACAGCTTTCCTAGTAACTGGATTTACCTTCCATTGTAACAGAGAACTTTGCTTTCTTTAAAGTATTTTTCTGCTTTAATTAATATTTCATAAATTCTTAGAGATTTATTAAAGATATAGTAACTCTTTTTTTATGGATAAATCTTATTGTTGTTATTGTTTCTTTTACTTTCGAAGAGAAGAAAGTGCCAAGTATTGCTGGCCAACATTGGGCAGGGATAAAGGGTGGCTTCTGCTTTTCAGCAGTGTGTGTTAAGGGACAGAGAATGGAGGGGCCTTGGGCTGCTCTGAAGTTGGGTAGATATGGGGGGCTGTCTTTAAAAGTTACAATTACTTTGCATTCCCAGAGACAGTCTGGCAGATGTATAGGTAGTTGTCAGTATTTTTCCCAAGCGTATAAAATATTACTAGAGAAAAAGTTATGAAGAGTTCAGGAGAGGCTTGTTTGAAGAGGCGGAGGGAAGGAAACTTTCTACTAACTAGAGAGGCTGTGGTGCAAATTATCTCTGAGATATGACAAGAGCAGGGAGGAGGGGTAGCAAGAATGTAGCCTTGAAAGTAACTTCTCTTGTTCAGCAGTGTGAACACAGGAGATGTTGGATTATAGGAGTCAACAATCTTGAGGTTTAATAAGCATGTACTTCTCATAAAATGTAGAAAGCCTCAGCAAAGAAAATAAAGACCTTTTTTTTCTCTTTTTTTATAGCTTAAAGTATTACAAAGGGTATTACATATGTGTCCTTTTTTTCCCCCGCCCTTGACAATTCCCTGGCCTCCCCTACCCCCCAGTGTCTTATGTCCATTGATTATGCTTATATGCATGCATACAAGTGCTTCGGTTGATTTCTTACCCTCCTCCCTCCTGCCCCCCAACCCTCCCTGGCCTTCCCGCTGCAGTTTGACAATCTGTTTGAGGCAGCTCTGCCTCTGTATCTATTATTCTTCAAAAGTTTATAAAGGTTGACTTTAAAAGTTTTAAGAGATTTTAAAAGTCTCTAAAAGACGTGAATTTCAGAAAAGGCCCGGAAAGCCTACAAAAACCATATGGCACATCTAAAACCTCAATTCTGTCAATGTAAGAAAAGTCCAAACCTGTAAAGATTTTTATGAGTTTATTTGATTAAAAAAGGATCAAAAACAAAAAGTACAACAAAAGAGAAAAAAATGCGTTTAT